TTATCACACAATTCCCAAATCTATTATTGGGAGAATTGTGAGCTATTTTTTTTTTCTTTTCGTTGTTGCATTTGACAATAATATCGATTGCCCGCCTATCGATTAATAAAAATGTGTTGGCAGCGCCAAAAGCTGGTTGATTAACAGAGCCAAAATATATTTAACAGCTGCTGCTGTTCGCAGACGTTAAAAATATGAAAACAAACCTTCCACAATTTTTACAATTTCGTTTTACGTTTATTTCTATAAAATGCATAACATATATATTTTGTTCAACTGTTAATAATTATTGAAAAAATAGCTGCAAATATGCGTATACATACACTTACAATATAAAAAGGAAATGTAGATAGAGAGCAATCATATAAAAGTTTTTTACAAAAGAATTATCATATATGTATTTATGTAAATAGTTCTTACTGAGCATTGTTAAACACAACACAATGTTATTAATCAATTATCATTTCGACAATATGACCATCTCATATGTATTTCGATAATAAAACCTACTTTTGTCTTTAACATAATAAAATGCACATTAGTTAAAATTTTTTTTCGTCATTAGATTTGGCAGCACCAAGGTACGGTAAGGGGATAAGGGAAGGTATATATGTAGGTAAATTACTGTTTGATTCGTGATAACATATAATTTTATGCCTTTGTGCTGCATAACATATGTATATGTATTACGAATAACAGTTAGATTTGTGCTAATAGTTTCAATTTCTTTAAAAATAAACTATTTTGGCGATGCGTTGTTTACGAACTGAAGTAAACAACAATTATTTTACATTTATAACATACACAAACATATTTTTACAGCAGTGCTGGGAAACAATTGAAAACCTTGAAGCAGCACTCCCATTAGCTGTTGCCGAAGTAGTAAAACTGAAGTATATCAAGGATGGTATTGGAAATTAAGGTGACCACATTCTTACATCGAGATTATATCAAGGATAGCCAATGATATTTGAAATTAATGTGACAACATTCTTATATGGAGAGTGCATTGCTGATCGATTGTTTTCCAGTTCCGCCAGGAATTTAACATACGTAGAGATTACAGATCATCATCGCCAATGCCCTCGAATGCTTCATTGCGCACGGACGCAGCTGTGTCGTCATTGCGAAAGAAAACCGCCGCAAAGGTGCGAGCCGTTGTCAGCTTGTGTTGCTGCTTGGAGCGTTGAGCTAGAAACTTAACCGGCGGCGTCATTGTGGTTGATGTGCCTGATGTTGTGGTGCACGACGAAGAAACGGAACTGGGCGTCGATGTGGTCGATTCCGATGCGCCACGTGAGGTGCTCGCCTCCTGCTCATCATCGCTGCCGCCGCCGCCACCATTGCTGCCATTGCTGTTACTATGCAGCAGCTCATCGACCATCGCCTGCAGGGACACAGACATCAGCATCGCTTGCTGGCTGGTGATAGTTATCCAGCGCAGTGTTTGCTTCGACATCAGATACTCAAAGGACAACTGCAGCTGCGTGGGCTGGTCTCGCGACTCGTACGTATTATGCATCGCACTCACTCTCCAGCATCGCATCCGTGTGACCCGGAATTTGGTCTCATAGATCTTGGCACCGCGTGCCGTGCGTAGGCTTAGCTCCCGATTGCCAATGGTCACCACCGCTGTCGTGTCCAGCTCCGGATAGTCCACTTGCGCGGCGCCAAACTGCAGACAGCCATAGGAGGGCAGTTGACGCACTAGCTCCAGATATTGCAAGGGCCGCGACTGCAGCTGCAAACTGCACAACTCCCGTCGCATTTCGGGCGTACAAATGATCCATTCGCGAGCCACATCCGCCAGCGTCTGATTGTAGAGTAGATTGAGCGCGACACTGTTGCCCAGCAGCTTGGCATCCCAGCGCGAGTTCCAATAGCACGTGCGCAAGAGCAATTGACAGGGCTGCGCATGCATGCGCGAAATGTAGGGCGATTCGAAGTCCATCAGGCGACGTAGTAGCAGCACGGCGGACGGATCATCAGGTGTGGAGGAACAGGAGGAGGCTCTCTCTTCGGGTGCCTCCACATGTCGCATGAGATACAAACAAAAGAATTGCATTAGTTCGTCGGGAACCTGCAGCATGCGGCAGACGGACTGCAGCAGAGCGCTTGCATTCTGCTGCACATGACAATTGACCAGCAATTGTACACCACTTCCTCCTCCCGGTCCTGGTGCCCAGCCACTATAGACCTCCACCTGGAGCTGTTGCTGCTCATCCTCGCGACTCACAGAGCACTCGGCCAGCGCCGTGTCCAATTGAGCGCGCTGCAGAAACTGTTGCAAGTATGGGAGGCGTGCGATTCCCGCATCCTGGCCAATGATTTGCAAGTAGTGCTCCAGTGCGGCACGTCGAGTCTCCAGCTGACTGTTGCTCAATGGCAGCAGGCGCTTGGGTGGGAATGGCGGCAAGGCGGCGTCCGCGCAACGCCTACGCAGCTGTTCGTGCAACGCGTGCAGCTGCTTGTAGCGCAAGCAGCAATGATAGTTACCATTAATGTAGATATTGTATACCGTGTATGTGGGCGAGCCACCGCTCCCATCCGCATACTGTTCCTGTGTGTCTGGTATTGAGAAATGCATTTTGTTGTAGTTGTGTCGCTGTTGTCGTTGTTGTTGGACGCTGTTGTTGATGCGTTCACTATTTCATTGCGTTTTACTTGCACGTCATTGACGCCTCTAGCCTTTTGTTGGCCGATTAGTCACTGCGCTCTTTTATTTGTACATGTATTAATTTATTTAATTAAAGATATTGCGATTGAGTTTTTTCACCTACACGCTGGAGGTGAGCAACTCACTTTGGCACTATCGATTATTGTTCATTTATTGACTTATCGGTTTTTAAACTGCAGATATTAGAGATGGGTTCTAAAGCGGAAAAATTCAACATGTAGGAACATGTTTTCAAGTTAACGTGATGTAAGAATTAATATTATTACATTTTCTTATTAATTATAGTATTTGCATATAATTTGATTTTAAGATTATAAAACCTAATTTAAAATAATTTTGTTATTATCTTGGTAATTAAAATATTTATTTTGCATACATGTTAATATTCTCTAGTAGAGACTAAAGTAAAATTACAATTAATACCAATTAATTCCTTTTTAAACTCGTATTTTGAATACTGTATATATTTGTCATTTTAATATTCGTTTGATTTATGTAAAAATAACAATAAAATAGGGTATTTTGCCTGTCAACATTATAAATTTAAAACGTACGCACATCGCTAAAGATGGTTTATCGTTTACGGCTTACTATCGATAGCTTACCTCTCAGTTTACACAATTCGAAAATTAAATATGAATGCGAACTATATTCTTGAAAGGTTAATTTCGCTAAAATTAGCTTCCGGGTAACTAAGTGTGATAATTATCCAAGCATTCAAATTATTGAGATCCATTTTTCCAAAGGCTGCTGCTCAGCTGAGTCAGCAGCTGATCTGCACCTATCAGCTGAGTGTGTTTTTAAAGTAGGTAAAACGTGGACGCCACGAGAATAGATCAACAATCATATCTTGAATGGAATTGCCAAGACAACGGCCCCACCATGACATTGGAGCTCTCTTTACTGACACCCAGGGTTTCCTGCGGGTCAGTGCTCCCATGGTGCGATACAGTAAGCTGGAGTTTCGCAGATTGTTGCGACAGAATGGAGTCCAATTGGCGTTTACCCCTATGATGATAGCGGATTCAATCAACAACAGCGAGAAGGCTAGACAGAATGAGTTTACGACTGGCCTCGATGATCAACCTCTCATCGCTCAATTTGCAGCCAAGGATGCACTGGAATTTGTTACAGCGTCACAACTCATTTATCCTTATGTGGATGGTGTAGATTTAAATTGTGGCTGCCCGCAAGGCTGGGCAATAGCCAAAGGCTATGGTTGCGGGCTTTTGCGGCAGCCTGAGCAGGTGCGCGACATTATTCAAAGCTTGCGGCGCACACTGCCCACAGATTTCAGCGTATCGGTGAAAATGCGTCTCTTGAACAGCAGCGATAACCAGACATCAGTGAATAAGACAATTCAGCTGGCTCAGCAATTGGAGTATTGTGGCGTCACATTCTTGACGCTGCACGGACGGACGCCCGCACAGAAGCATTCCAAGGATACACTCAATGTGGAGGCCATGGCCGAAGTCGCCAAATCTCTGCAAATTCCACTGATAGTAAATGGCAATGTGGAAAGCTATCAAGATGCCTGCGAACTGCACAAACAAACGCAGGCCGCGGGCGTCATGGCTGCCCGTGGATTACTTGCGAATCCGGCCTTGTTCAACAGTGACTATCAACTGGAAACTGCAACGCCAAAGGTGTGTGTACAGCAGTGGCTGGACATCGCCGAGTCTGCGGGTCATAATTTGAATTTCCAGTGCTTTCATCATCATCTGAGTTTTATGTGGAACAGCACAATGAAACGCGCCTTACGAGTTCAATTCAACAGCCTCGGCAGTAAAGACCAAGTACTGCAGTTCTTGGCCGAGCACTATGATATCCGGCCTAGCTCTAACAGCTCAACCTACCAATATACAAATTGTACTTATACCCACTTCACGCCACCCAAACATGCTCGTCACCTGGCCGTGGAGGCGGAAGATAGCGGTTGGGATGCAAGCACCGATGGTAAATATTTCACAGACTTCAAAAGTCAGCAAGTCTCCAGCGAAAACGGGGACGATCTTGATCTGGGTGGACTATTCCTAGACGACGATTGATGTGTGTTTAGATATAAGTTGGTGTGTATTTTTGAGGTGGTTTGACGAGACAATTAAATGCAAATAAATTAAATGGTATTTCTTAAAAGTACGTTAACACATAACGTACTTCAAAATTTATGCAAAGCGGCTAAATTTCTTTTAAACTCGTTTAACAGAGCTTCATAACAGCATTCGTTGTAGTAGTCGGAATTTTAAAATGTATATATCGATAGTAAGTTTGAATATTTACACCATATGTCTGGTGAACTGAAATCGTTAATGAATCTAGCTGCTAAGGACTGAAATCTTTTCATTTTATTGTAATAATTATAAAAACAATCGCCACAAAACGTCCATTTTGACTTATTTCTTATTCATACTCTACTCGATAGTCGGTAGCTTAAAAATATCGGTACATCAAGCGTCACTCATCACTAAAAACAAAGCAGGAAAGCAAAACAAAAGACCAACAAACATTATAAAATGCGTCGCCGGGAACTACAGACTATACAACTTAAACTCTCAGAACTCAAAGAGTATGAGCAGGCCAAAATGGAGCGTGCCAAGGCACGCCAACAGGTTCCGTCGCCACGCACACCCACACCCACCTCGGACAGCGACATTATGTTGCTGCCCTCGAGCAGTGTGCCGACAATGTTATTTGCTAACAACAGCAACAACGCCGACGACGAAGCTGAAGGAACGGCCAAGGAGTCAAGGGATGCATAAGTTGCGCTTATAGTAATGGTAAGTTGACCTTTGTAGTTATGATTACAATTTCATATTTATGTTAATTTACATTAATACTCATCATTACGAATGCTGCTACTGCTATTGTTGTTATTGTTGTTGTTTTGAAAACGCACCGTCTCAAAGCCATCGACGAGTATCTCACGATCCTCGGTCTGTTGGCGCTCACGCAACCATTGCTCCCGCACTGGCACATAACGACGCAGTCCCGGCCACTTGCGCCAACAGCGCCGCTTATAGAGCAGCCAAACCAGCGATAATCCGCATCCAAAGAAGAAACATAACAGAAATATGCTTACGCCACGCACATGCGAATGAATCTCTTCCTTCCCCTCCTGCGCATGTTCCTTTGTCTTAGCTGTCTGCAGACCTTCATTAGGAATCTCCGGCGCTATCGTTGACGGCATCTTGCTTTGCTCCGCGTCGCACCACGTAATTGTGACATAGTTTGTGATGACATCTCCGGCTAGCGAATGAACGCGCACGGCACACTCGTTGTAGGTGCCATTCAATGAGCTCTTATGCACGTAATTTGCCAGGGCATGCTGACGTCGCGTTATGCAGCTCAGATGCGTTTCGGCCACCTGCTCGGACACATTGCTGCGATAGTGTAGCACGTAGTTAACAATCAATCCATTCGGTTGATCTGGCTCCGCAAAGCGCACAATGTAGTCCATTGTTTTGGGGAGACGGCATGCCATTATCAGCGGCAAGTCTGCGCCGATTGTGAAATTCGTGCGCTCGTGCACCGTCGTGGAGCTGCTGCAGCCGAGCATATTGCAAGCCTGCAATTGCAACGAGTATAAGCGATAACGCTGCAGCTGGCGCAGCTCATAGGCCGTCACATTGGCATCCAGGCGCAGCTGTTTTCCCGTCTTTGCCTCCACGGGCGTGCAGTTGTCCACCTCATCCAGACTGCAGCGATACATGTCAGCCATTTGGCTAATGAAATCCTGATCTAGCGCTTGATTTGCCTGCCGCGCACAGCATGCATCGTAGTCATCTTGTTCCTGGCGCCATCGCACTGCTTCCATGTCCTGCCTGGTCGCCGGTTGCCGGCAAAAATTGCGCTCATCCATGTAGGCCACATCGTCTGCCAGCTCGTGCACGGTTAACATATAGTAGTCCAGCTCCTTCCCATTCAAGCGCAGCGTTAGCGTATTGTCCGTCTTTTTGCTTACGGACAGTGAAGGAGGCTTCGGTATATCCATGTGCGTTTCCACGTACATCAAATCGCTGCGCGCATCGTGCTGCGCATCGCCTCCAAAGGTACGCAACAAGCAGGCGTAGCGCGTATGCGGACGAAGCTGATCCAGCTGATAGCTGTAGTGGGTGCCATTATCTTGCAGATCGTCCGCAAAGAGCAACAGTCTCTGCCAATTGATGCGCGTGCAGACTGGCGCCTCCAGTTCGCTCTGCTCGGCGTATTTTGTGCCCAACGGCACGGTTCTATAAATCAGCTCCAGCTCCACGCTCATTTGAGATTTCAGCCAGCTGAGTTGCACTGTGCGATGCGATGTGGGCTGTAAAGGAAAGATGGAATCTACATTTGCTTAAAATTCTTGCATAGAGCTATATGTTGTATGCAGACTCACCTGCACGATCAACTGCAGCTTGGCTGGACCGCAAAGCACCTCCTGATCGCTGGTCTGTAGCTTGTCCATCACCTTGTCGTGTATGACACGATCCTGAAACTCTCTGATATGCCTGTTGCACAGCTTATTATTGCGATCCATGTACATGCCGCCGGTAACAAACTCCAGCTGCTTGGTTGGCTCCCACAGTTCGGTGAGCTGCTTGTTGTCATACAGCACGAAGGCGAAATGGCGATTCTCGAGAGGATCGCCGTGTATGCGGCGCAGGTTGCTCAGAAATTTCAAGCTGCTCAGCTGGGAGGCACTAAAAATAAACCATTCAATAGACAGTCCTGTTTTTGAGATGTCATACGAACCGATAGATCTTCAGATGTCCACGTATTTCGCGTAGACTGCTGAAACTCTGCTCCAGCTGCTCCTCGTTGACCTTGTTGCGTATGGTGATGATGAGGCTGCTGTTAACAATTTGGCAACCGCGCAATTCCTCAGCATCGGCCAGATTGTAGATGACAATCATTCCATCCATATGCTCCGGCGAACAGACGCTAATGCATGCCTCCAGCGGCGCACAGCGTACGCATTGTGATGCGGCATTGGCCTTGTAGCCGCTGGGACAGAATGCGACACACTTGTAGCCAAACGTGTAATGCCCATGGATACGGATGCATTCGTCGCGGGTGTAACAGCGTTGATAATGCTCCAGCACATACCTGCAAACGGACTAAGACTAAGTGGCAATCAACCAGACGCCAAGCCGGACGTGGCTCAGCTTCTCACTCACTTGTTTGGCGGACAGCGCTTCACACAGACACCCGCATCCGTTAGTCCTCGGCAGACCACGCAGCCTGCGGCTGTTGCATTGTGACAGCCGCCCAGGCACTCCTCATGGCAGCTCTGCAAATTTCTGTATAATGCAACAGAGTACGAAACAATTCAAATTGCTTAATTTGTTAATATTGTATATTATCCTATGCTATAAGTACATAATCTAAAGCTGAATCTTTACTAATGTTCTTGCAATAACATCATTGGCTTCAATTAACATTAAAATGTTAGTGTTAATCTTCTCTTAACTGATTGCCTCTAGAAAACTAACATTGAAATGTTAAATGTCGAAGCTGTACAACCGTTTTCAATGATAATTTCTGAATTTCTTAATTGTTTTCTCTTATAAAAATGTTGATAAGTCATAAAATAATATTGACAAGAAATCCATACACCCACCGATCATAATGTACCACATTATCGTTTTCGAAGCGTTGACAGGTGAAATTCGACCAACAATAGTTGGAGGCGCAACCTTTGCAGTTAGCACGATGCGTACAGTTGTTGGATCCACTGACAATATGATTCTCCCCAGCACTCAGTGTGAGTCGATCCCAATTGACCTATAGAAGGAGAATTGTCTCAGCACATCTAGATATCACGAATTATGCATACCCTATTCAGCTGGCAGAGCTTGGGGCAGTTGCCGATGTAGACGTGTCCACGTTGTATGGCAACTAGAGATTTGAATTCCAACTGAAATAGAGATAACAATAACAATAATATTGATGGTCGATCGGAAGATTAAGCTTTTTCAAATACTACATGTGAATTTTTCTTATATATCAATAAATTATATATATATATATATTCATATATATGTACATACATAATGTACATACATATCTCATCATTTCGCAATTTTCTGCATAATAATTTTCACTTACCAGTTCTAAATCGGGCATACTGCTAATGCCCAGAGCATAATTAAGAAAGAGTTTTCGGCCGCGTATTACAGTGAGATTGGGAAACATATCACGGATGTTGGTCAAGTCCTTTACCTCGGTGAATATCATAAAGTCCGTGATTTCGCGTAATTTGGGAAACGAATACGCCGTAAAGTTGCAATTGTGACTGGGCAGCAGTGTGATCATTACATAGCCAATGACCACTGTACAGTTATCCAATAATTTCATTTTGCTGCATTCGTTGCGTATATCTATGCTGGTGCACTCTCTGAACTCGGCTGATGGATTTGGCTGTATGGCTGCCAAGGCCGAGGCCAAGGCGAAGATGTTAGCTAGCGCTAGCAACATGTTTCGAAGCTTTAGCAGCATGTTGCTAAGGGTCTGCTGCTCGTGCGTGCTTATAATTGTTGCTGAAAATGCGAATGTTGCTGTTGGTATTGTTGTTGTTCTTGTTGCTCCTGTGCTGCTTGTTGCTGTTGTTTACATCGGCGTCTTTTCAACATTGCTCAGCTCTCTGCTTTTTCATCTGATTTGTTTATATGGTGTATTTTGTCGTTTCTCTGTCTTTTTAGCACTGTTCGCCTAATTAGCGCATTGGCTCTTGCCGATCGAACTCGAATTCCCCGATTAGCTGCAATTTATGAGTTTCCACACTATCGTCAATGAAAATCTCCCGCGCGACTTCAGCTAATTTTTGGTCACCAACTTTTTTTTCGCTTAGTTGTCTAAAAAATCACACAAAGAAAAAACACACACAGGCCACGAACACAGTTGAAATGATTATTGCAGCTTCTGCTAAAAATCAGAACGTCGCTATTTCTTCCTCTTTTAAGCGCGAGTATCGAACTGATTTGATTTCAATATTGCGGTACTTTGGCTGGAGAATCTTTCCATTAACAGCGTTGCCACTTAACTCAAACTACAAGAAGAAGGTGATTGAAATTTGAAGAAAATATAGAAAATGCATCAAGAAGAAATATCAATTTAAAAAATATTTCATCTGAGAAAACTAATTTTTTTTATTTGATGTCCGCTTACCAACAAATTATTAAGTGTATTTTGAATTTTTCTGTTATTTAAAAAATAATTATTTATCTATTTTGTATTTATTTATTTTATTTTATTTATTTATAATGCTTTAATTTTTTTTTCTTTTGCATTTAATATTTACTTATATAATGTTTAATTATTTTATATTTTTATAATGCTATACTATAATAGCATTTTTTATTTTATATTTCTATTTTTATTTTCATAGTAATATCTTGAAGGAATATTAAAAAAATTAACTGTAGTGTAGTGATCCTACTTTTATAGAGCTCTCTAATTAGAAATTTCTTATTTAATTTTTTCGAGTCGAGTTGTCTTCTTAAGCATTCAAGTAAAATTTATTGAGTTGCCTTTTAACAAACAGAATAAATTGGCGAAAATTGATCTACCGAATTAGTTTAAATGAGGTAATGTTGCTAATTTAAATTGCTCAGAAAAGAATAGAATTAGGTGATCAATTAATTGAAACTTGTTTAATTTTTTGTTCACAAATACATTTTTTCACTCACAATTATAACAATATTTTGATCAAATTCCGTTTCTTTGCAGGTGGCTAACATCAACGAATCTAGACGCTCTATAATATATACACCACTTGACTTTATTACCGAGGTATAAATTATACAAGATATAGTTTTATATTAAAAATCACAAATCAAATTAAATTTTTTAAGCACTACTCATAAATAGTTATTAATTAAGTTGAAATAGTTCAATTGTATTTATTTAAAATTTTATGATTTTTTTTTATGTTACAATAAAAAGAGTCTGTGTAATTTGTAACGATTCGATTTCTGAGACGCGTTCACGACGATCTTGCTGCGGCGCTGTCCAATTGCCGACTGCTGGAATGGAAGCCACAGAGTCTGGGCCGGGATCTTAACGATCTGTGCGAGCCATCAAATTGATTTTTTATTTAGTGTGTATTGCCGCTTACACTGCGCATCGCGGTTGATGGAACGTGCCAGCGCCAGCGCCAGCGTCGGGCTGGCTGACTGATCATCGGCTTTGTTGTACGGCATTTCGAGGGCAGGCCGTAAATTAATTTGAAGCATTTGATTTGCCGTCGATGTCGTTCGCGTTTTCAGTTAATTTGTCAACTGTGCAGCTGCCTGTTGCATAATGCAGCGCACTCGAATCGAATGCAATTACACGACACAACTCATCATGTAATTTCTCGCAGTGCACTGCTCACTAGGGCTGCCTTTCCATTTTTTTGTTGTTGTTTTTTTTTCGTTTTTGATCCAGTTCCTGTTCTTGGCCGTCCTCCTCCTGCTCCTGTCAAACGGCCAGCTGATTCGTATGGCTCATAAAAACAGCTGACTCCAATTAACCACATGGCATTACGACTTTACGGGAACCTACATACACACGCACACACACGCATGCAAAGACAGAGTCTTGCATCAAAGCAGCTGAGGCCAAAAAGCTATTACGTTAACGACAGAAGCATAAATATGGTAGAAAGGGGCTTAAACGAAGCAATTTTCCAGCTGGGCCTAAAGCACGTTGATGGCATTGTAAGGAACTTTATTATTTTTAGCAGATATTTGGAGAGATTTTATGTTATGTTAAATATTAGGATTTAAATCAAGCCGTCGACTGTTCGAATCTTTAATATTTATATTTTCTCAAATTTATAAATTATTTAAACAAGATAATTGGCGTAGAAAACTCTTTAAGAGAAATATATATAAATATAGAGATAGAGACAGAGAGAGCGAGAGAGACGAGAGACATAGACTGAGCATGGTAGGGATAGAGAGAGTTAAAGTGAGTGTGGGTTTGACCGAGATAATATAATAATAAGAATATCAAAATAAACTTCATCTATTGCAAGAGAAAGGTTTGAGTTCAATTGACAATATTTTTAGACTAAGACAGCAAATATTTATTCAGCATTTTATTCAAATATCCAACGAATTCGCTCTTTAAAGTCTTCCGATAATAAATAATAAAAAACAGAATTCAAGTGAAATATTGTTTTCTTTGCAATGCATTATTTGTATGGAAAGATCATTTGTTGTTCGGAAGGCCTCGTTGCTCGTGTCAAAGTTCAATTAATTCAATTAAATTAGTAGTGTGTGTGAGAGAGAGACAGGGAGTGAGTGTATGCGTGTGTCATATATAAAGTCCAACGCATTTGAATCCAACAATTTACATAAAATGAAAACGTTCTCGCATGAGAAAAGTAGTTTTGAATATCTTTCTCAAATATAAAAAATATAAATGAACATATATTTATTTATAAATATATTCATGTGCGTTTAAAAGTTAAGCTTAGCTTAGGAAAATTATGAACATTAGCTGTTTCTACTCTGGCGGCGTATTGTCATGTATCCATTCCTGGAAGTAAACCAAGCTCGTGTAGACGCTGGGTATGCGCAGCCCGCCGCAATTATCCGAGCCAAAGGACATGATACCAATCTGCCGAGAGAGAAAGAGAGAGAGAGAGAGAGAGACAGAGAGGGAGAAGTTCATCATCAATGGCATGTCAATCAGCTGGCATAGGCTCACCTGTGAGAAGATATTGTTCTCCTGAATGAAGAGTGGCGCACCGCCAAAGCCTTGGCATACGTCTTTGCCCTCGCCGCCGGCGCACATCCATTGGCCCTCGATGGAGTTGGGTGATTCGAGGGCGCCCGTGGAGCCATAGTTGCGTAGACAGAGATCCCAGCTGGTCAGCGGCACGTCCAGATGCGACATCTCTGGCTGGCGTATGCTCGACGTGGACATCTTGCCCCAGCCGGCGATAGTCGCCCGTTTGCCCACGACCAGATTGGCGCGTGTCTTTTGCAAACAGATCGGCTGGGTGGCCACTGCATTGGAAGATGAGGAGGGCGAGGAGGAGCAGATGATGAAGAAGAAGACGAATTAAAAGAAATCGATACGAATCTAATTTTTGGGTCTGACTGCAGAGACTGTTACGCCCTTTTGATCGTGGGCCAAAGAGAAGGAAGGCAGGGCGTGGCAGGGTAGGGCTGGGCACGGCAGGACAGGTCGTTGTTATAGTATCATTGATACTCTTTCACATTGTTCAAACCCATTGATTGCCTTGCGTTCACGTACGTCCATAAAACGTTATAAAGCCATAAAATTCACCAGCCAACGAGCCTGGCCAGCAATTAAGGTAAAGCCCCCCCCGCATCTCGGCAGCGTGGCTAATGTAATGCCCCTTATTTGCTCAGATCGCAATGATATTGACGCTTTAAAATTCAATTTAGATTTATGCTTTCCTTCTGAATTCGTGCGAATACCCCACAAAAAGAGAACGAAAGCCCCGCAAATAACATGTAGAATTATCTGTTTTAAATTATACATCAAATAATTGCGGGGCGAATTTTTTAGTTAATACGGATGAAAATTTTATGGCTTTATAATTTACCAAAGATAGCTTGGAAATTGATGAGCAAATGTATTATTATTAAATATTCCCTTACCAAACTTGGTTCATAGTGCAGAACGTTGCTGGGGTAACTGCTGTATTTCTTATATTTAAAGATATATTGCCCTGCTCTAAGTTACTCATTTCTATACATAATATATACATATATATATTTCTATTGGTTATATATTTTTATTTATTTATTATTATTTTTATTATTTATTATATTTTGTTATTTATTACTTTTTTTTAATTATTCTGTGCTTTCTATTTTTTAAACCACTTTCTTTTTTAACTATGAAGAAAACTTATAAGATATATGTATATTTAAATTTCAAAAACAGGTGTTTTTATACGTTTACTGGAGTAAGAATTTCATAAATTTCAACTAAACGTATTTTAATGTAAACTTGATTGATGAGGTTGTTTATATAAGCAGAACTAAAAATAATTTTAGGATGTACATTAAGCCCTAAATTAAGCAGTAAAAAGTCATCATTTTTTTTTACGTACTATATAAAGTAACGTAAAAAGTAACGTATTTCTTGGCTTAGCGAAATATACAAGGAAAATGTATATCGAAAAATGCATGCAATATAATATATTAAGTCTCTCTATTTTACTTATATCGCGCATTTTGCTTTCATACCATATACATCCACCAATCTAATAGCTTTTTCGTATACACCCAAGTCAATGTTGTCATGAAGGTATTTTGAAGTTCTATTTAGTATTTTCATATTCATTATATATTTATGGCTAATCATATAAGAGTCTCTCAAAATTTCCGCTCGCTTCCGCCGCTTCAGTGGCATAAATAGCGAGTGTAAAGTTTAAAATATGAAATTTGTTTCAGATTTCAAAGTCCAGAACTATTGAACTATATCGAAGATCGAAACTTCGCTTATTATTTGCTACACTAAGCACAGAGTGTGGCTTGTTGCTGGCCAATTAAATTAGCCTCCCACCGCGCCGCAGCCTCCTTCCCCCTTCTCCCATACGAATTGCCGCCCCTAGCCTCGAATTAGCAAACATGCAATATGGGAGACGATGCGACGCATATGGGCTTGACATTATTGAACTTGGCGAGTCGAAAATAACAACAGCAGAAAATAGAAGAAATATCACAGAGCAAAACGATTTTTAATTAACGTTGACACTGCGAAGCGTAACCAGAAACCCCCAGCAATGCGACCCCTGGCTCTCCCCCTCTCTCTCTCTCTTTCTCTCTCTCTCTCACACGTCTCATTCCATTGACCCCCTGACACCGCTCGTCCCCCTTCTCAAGCGCTTACCCGAGTAATTGAGCGGCGTTTTGAGCACCAGCAGCGCAATGTCATGATGATATTGGCCTTGCTTGTAGTCGGGATGCACAATCACATGGCTAATGGCATGATTCACTGAGCGCGGTGCACAGAAGCCAGTGCTGGCGCAGTCCGGATCACTGGAGGTGTCGTACTCGCCAACGCGCACCGATGAGCTGAGCAAGGGAAAGTGAAGAGATTTACAGAGAGATAGATGGGATACATGTGAGATATAGGTGAGCATGGCTTACAGTCGATGGCCGTCGGCTTTGGCCAGTGCACAATGGGCGGCCGTTAGGATGACGCGTCGCGCAATGATCGAACCAGCGCAGGGATAGGCAAAGGCGCCCGTGTTGACATCTACAGTTGAAGGAGTTCCTTATATAACTTCTCTTATGGAACTTCATTTATTTGACTTACGCTTGAAGCCCACGCGCGCCACAAACGGATACGAGCCGAGTCCCCGGTAGAAATGCCCCTGCACCAGCGACTTGCCGCACACCTGATTCTTCTCCAGCGGACTGCTTGGACAGCACACGTAGGGCATCTCCTCGCCGCCGCCACAATACAACGACTTGTCGCCGTAATAACAGTTCTTGGCCACCTCGTAGATCATGGCCGTGCAGTCGTGCAGGGGCGTGCACTCGGTGCCAAAGGCGCACTCCGAGGCGCCAGCCGACTGGCCCAGGTAGGAGCGGGCGGACACCGAGTGGCTGCTGGCGCTGCTGTTGCCATCGCTGCTCAGATCTCGCTTGCCATAGGTCGGCGGTATAACTAGTTTCTCTGGCAAACAGTAAAATTTTATTTGATATTACAATAAATATTATTATTGGATGTTGTTTAATGGTTATTATATTAATTATATAATTGAATTGGAGAATTCATTTTTTGTCTGATAAAATAGCAATACAAATAAAAAAAATTATTCGAATGCTATCCCATTCCCTAATTATTTTATTATTAAATGTTTAATGTAAATGTTTAAGTAATAAATATGATTATTATTAGTAAGCTAGTAACTTGAAAGAATTATCTGACTAGACTAGGAATATATTTCCAAATAAATTTTAACATAAATTAAATTAAACGTATTCCATATCCTAAAATTATAAAAACAAGTAAGTATAGAAAAAATACCTTATAATACATAAAGTTTTTTAATTTTTTTACTTAGCAATTAAACTTTTTTTTTGCTATAATTATTTTTGTGTCAAAACTTTTATAGAATTATATTCATTCTAGTATAATTGAACTCGTCAATTTTTTGTTATAAATTTTTTTTTTTTAATAAACATTTTAATAAAAAAATCTAATAAAATATGTTTTACACTTTATTTGTAAATCAAGGTTTTGCAAAAAACACAAAAAAAAACCTATAAAGTAATGTCTTATTCAATATGCAATCTCTATTAAAGAATAAAAAAATAAATAAATAAATGGGAAATAAAACATAACAAATAATTTAATAAAAAAAATGGAAAAATAAATAAAATTAAAAAATAAATAAATATATTGAAACATTTTTTATAAACAATAATAATAGTAAAATATATAACATATTTATTTAAAAAATTGTATTTTTTACAAATTTTTTTATTTTTTTTTTTTATTAAATAATAATGAACATTAAATTAAAATTCAAAATTTATAAATAAAATAGAAAATTAGTTTATATGCGCTTTACAAATAATCAGTGTGACGTAATTTTAAATTTTGCTTAATATATTCTATATTATTCAAGCTTAATATATTTCATGTTCCTACAGTCAACTGTTTTATAGATATAACCGATTTAATATTAGCTACTACCTACCAAATTCACCGGTTTCAGTTCGAATGCTTGCAAATATATTGCAAAATATGAATAATGCATAGAAGGAGTGCATAATGCTTAACACGTCGCCAAACACTTGTGATGTGATTTAACCAAATTCTTATTGAGGCAGTAGAACACTTGGCATCACTTCACTTATTAAATATCGAGTTCTCTTATTAACCGACGAACCGAGCGCGTTAACAAATCTCTTTCGACTAAACGGTACGGCGCGGAATCGCACTGCCCAATGAAAACGAAAACTGAAACTGAAAAAATGAAAAATGAAAACTAAAATCTGAAATTTTATGGCCAGGTAGCCGCTGCTGCTGCCACTGACTAACTGACTGACTAACTGATTTTTATGACAATTTGGTCTCAATTCCAGGTTTTGTCGTATTTAGCTTCTTTTTTTTTTTTTTGCTCTGACTCCGATACGATCCGGGCACGCTCTTTGTATTTCATGTTTGATATATGTGGATCATAGCAACTGGCAAAGCCAGCCGGACAGTCATTAGTTAGTTGAATGCAGTTTTTATTTACCAAATGATGAGCACATATTATAGAACTGTGGTTAAGCATATACAACTGTTGTAGTTGTAGTTGTTATGATGTATAACTGTTTTGGACTGAAGCGAATACACAGTATATAGGGACAGATCGGGGTATACGAGGCAAATGATGACTGTTAGTTGTACTTTTCACTTTGTAATTGTAAATAATTTGTTAAATATACATATATTGCATACAAAAGTTCTTAAATTAATTTATCATCTTACTATATACACATTTGCTGAAAATATGAATTCAAGTTAAATGATTATAGAAAATAAATCACTAAAAAAATAATACATATACTTTAATAAGCTTTTTTCACAAAATCGATTATTTTAAAATTATATTAGATGTAGGAAAAAATTTCTGGATATGAAAAAAATAATAATGATAATAATAAAATATAGTAAACATTTTCATTGTTATTGTAAAATATAGTAATTTTTATTTATTTTATTTTAAATAATTTTTTATTGTAAATAATTGAGCTTAGATATTTAAAATTAAAATATAACATATGAAAGCCTAATAAACATCTTCTGTAACCTAATTTTTAACAGTTTATCTTATTTAGTTATTTTATTTTATTATTTTATGTCAAAAATATGGCATATTTATTTTATTTAAGTGTGGATAAAGCTAAGATAATTTAACAAATGTTCTTCTGCTGTAGCGCACATTTTCCATTCCATTTGGCCGAAGCTTTCTTCTGTGCTTTATTATTAAAGTTAATTTTACTTGCTCTCTATTTAGTTGTTTTGGTTTTTTTTATTGTAATATAAAATATTATGAATGAGATCATTTTGATTTGATAAGCGGCCGAGTGACCAGAGCAACGGTTCCACTTTTTTAAGCATGAAAACAAGCGCGACAAACGCACATTAAAATGTTTTATTGCACAAACAACTATATACCTGGTATGTGTATGTATATATATAATCATATACAGATGTATAGGAACATATAGCATGAGTGCTTGTACTAGGCTAATTTGTTTTCTTTTTTCATTTAGTTGTATTTAATGGTGAATTTTACTTTCATTGCGATTAACATCATTTATCGCGCTTTGACAAATAAAACCAACAAGTAAAAGTGTTTTTGTATGGGAGTACACGACTAGCAGATACCCTAGACGACACATAGACGCACATTCATCACATAGATATACACATATACACGCAACATACAGCTGCAGTGTCTCTACCCTCAGGTTCCTGTTCTATCAATGCCATAATATGATATAGACATGTTTCTTATTATTATTTATATATTCATTATTATTGTACATAAAATTTCAGCACCACACATATATTATTTAGTTTAAAGTCTTCAAGTTAAAATATACATTTTTGTAAATATTATAAGTACATATGTATGTATGTATATATAACACTACAATTCTCTAAATCTTAAAATTTACGACACACATAGCAAACCTACATACATACATATATACATGCGTGTATATATATATATAGACATACCTATCATGTATGTATATATGTATGCATCTATATATGTCTATAATAGGCATACACATATACGTACATGCATACAGTTATTTACATATAAGTACGTCAAATATGTATACATATATACATGCATATATAGACATCTGTATAGCCATGCTAATCTCCAAACATGCTATGGTCGGCTCATCTGATGATAACTCATGATGATATGTGATCATAAGATATTTGATATAAGATCGAACCCATCTTCTACTGGATATGCCATACTTTCTGGCCAAATCAACACACCCCGAATCCCAGGAAATAAAGAGGATAAAGAATATCTGGTTAATACTTTACTACGGACATAATGTGATTTCTATAATACTTAGCCTACATAGTGTACATCACTCAGTTTGTTTCATCGCTGCTGTCTAGCAATTGTCCGTCCTCCTTGAAGTCCTTGTCCTGGGCCGGTCCGCTGCCGCTACCGCCGCCCAGCTGGGCTAGAGCACTGCGCACCGCATCCTCGTAGTAATCGCAGCGAGCGGACAGATTGGAGCTGTCGCTGATGCTGGATACGATGCTGGATAGACTGACACTCGATTCACTGGCATTGTTCTCCATGGAGGTGCTGCTCTGTGCATCCGACAATTGACGCCGACGCTGACTCTGCTGCTGCAGCGCATCGTACACATAGTTGTACTCGTAGGCACCCTCGGGTCGGGCATGCAGCGGTATGGGGAAATTGTGGAGCACCTCACGGAACACCTCATATCGATCGCGCAACTCCGCGTCCACCTCCTCGTCGCGCCGCTCCTCGGCCTGCATCGAGTGCAACACGGAATACATAAACACACGATTGGCGATGTGACAGTCGGGCAAGAGACTGCCCTCCACTCCCTGATTGGGGCACATGCCGCTCACCGGACGCAGCCCAAACACCACAATAAAAGTATAATATCCAATGCAATGCAATGCGATACAATCAATTTTTAACGGACAGCTTGCTAGCGTTTTTTTTACAGTTAGATTTTATTCGACTTTGTCTTTTTGAGCGAAAACAAAAACTTTAATTTGAAACGAGCGCTTAATTTTTCAAATATATTTATTTACTAAATCAACACAAAATAAACTGGGGCAGTTGAGTGTGGAAGCATTACATAATTATATTAATTTCTAAAGCATAGAACAATGCCAACTAAACGATCAAATAACACACACAATAAACAACAAACAGAAGCAAACAAACATTTAACACGGCTAAATAAGGCGGAAATCATAATTGTATTGTACCCTTAACTATTATAGTATAGCTTAAATTGTTGTTATTTAATAAATATAATAAAAGCATAAACAAATATCAATTAAATTCAATCAAATCAAATGCTGCCTTTGTAACCATTTCTATAGAAAGAGGTGAGAGTGCTGCTTACGTATATTCCTCGGTCTATCTTCGCTGAAATCGGATTCTCTGTGGTAGATGTTCTCTTAAATATTATCAAAATCTCCAAATATCTTCGAGCCACCCTAAATTTAAAATTACCTATATTTATCTTTTAATCACAGTTTGTTAATATGTATTTATTGCAAACTATTGTAAATTTGTATTACAAATAGTCAATATACTGTTTTGATGATCTAAAAACTTTTACCAGATCTCTGATCGAGTGCGCCGAATGCATTTTGAACAAGTAAGAAAGCTCTAGTCGAGACTGCTCGACTACGAGATCCCCTGAACCCTTGGAGCAATAGATATTTCAATACTTTTTCGCGACTTTCAGCTTACACAAGAAACACGCACACACACACACACGTACGCAAACACAGGCATACATACACACACACGCATACAGACACACATACACACACACACGCATACATACACAAACGCATACACACACACATACACACACACATACACAAACACATACACACACAAGCAACCACGCATAAACACGCATGGGCTGCAGTGTGCGCTTACTATGAGAACTTAATTGTTTAATAACTTTTTTTATGGACGTACGATCTTCATGAAACTTTTAGATTATGATTATAATATGAATATGCATGTAATTGCCAAAGCACAAGTCTCTAGTATTTGAAATACGCTTTTTACAAAAGTGAGGGTGAGGGGGAGAATTTAGAGGTGGGGGGGTAAATTTTAACAAAAACCGAAATTGTATAAATTGCATATAGGCATACATTAAAAATTTGGAGTCTCTAGCAATAAAGGTGTAGAAGATATAATTTTATAACTGGGTTTCGATAAGGTTTTTTATCGATAAAAAAAGATCGAGATGAGTTATCGATTTTTAATGATAAACTTGATATGCGCGCTGTAATTACGGACATTTTAAAAAATTTGAAGTCTCTAGCTCTTATATCTTCTGAAATCGACGCGTTCATACATACGGACAGACGGACAGACGGACAGACGGACAGACAGACGGACAGGGCCAAATCAACTCAGCTCGTCACCCTGATCAAGAATATATATACTTTATGGGGTCTGCCACGCCTCCTTCTCCTTGTTACATACATTTCAACAAAACCATTATACCCTGATTTCCCATTGAAAATGGGTTCAGGGTATAATAAGAGAACAGAAAAGTGACGTCTTAACAGACTTAACACTTTACATTAAAGTTAACAGAAGACTTCTTTGCCTGAGCAACTTACATAGTCTCTGAACAGATGTCCAACGGGCCCTTCTTAAATTATTAAGGGCTCTTGTACTCTCTCAACGAAGCTATACAATACGGCAGTGCACGATTGATACAGACTGTTAGTTAACATTAAAAGGAGTGAGCCTCTGCTTTCCCTAACCACTAACCCCTAACATACCCAGTCTCTTAACAGTGCATAATAAGGTGCAATGTTGCGAAATGTCCCACAAATTTTCCCCTTACTCTTTCTTAATGCTCTCATGTACACGTATATTGAGTGTCGTTTGAGTGAGTGACTTTTTCACTGATAAATGCGTATGTATTCACAAGCAATACTGCTGGCACACCGAAGTGTTCATTTTTATCATATACAAACATACATATGTACATATGTATTTCATGGTATGATTACAAATGTATAAATTCATATACTACATACATATATGTATGCATATTTTTTTTTGCAATTCCTTTAATGCTATTAAAAAAAGTACCGTTAACAGTTAAATGTCATCTCTGTTGGTATTATGGGTCATAATTGTGCCTAAACTGCCATAAAATTGTCGAAAATAACTAAATTATACAGCGTGTCGGCATTTTGGGTACTTAAATTTATTATACTTTAAACTTTATTCGAAATACAGAATGTAATATGTTTGTATGCATGAATGTATGTAATATTAATATTGAATACAAATGAATTAATTATAACAACGAAAAAAAACAGAGAGGGACAGAGTAATAATAGGTGAAAAATTAATGCAAATAAAAATGCAGCTCAAAAATAACTACTAGAAAACAATTTCGAAAACAAAACAGTAATTTTTAACTGAAAACCCGACAGAAAAAAAATTAATATGTGTATATGCATGAAATTATGCATGTTGTGAGGGCTTAAACATTTAGAAAGACAGTAATAGGGCAATGATCGCTGCCCATGCATTTGCTGCGCATCACATTGTCCACGACGCGTGAAACAAAGCGTTCGGAGACGATGCAATAATCCAAACGCCAGCCGACGTTACGGGCACGCGCATTGGACATATAGGTCCAGAAGGTATAGGCACCAGTCTGTTTGGGGTACAGGTGCCTGAAGGTGTCTACATAGCCAAGGGCCAGCAATTCAGACATCTTTTCGCGCTCCTCCTTGGTGAATCCGGCGTTTCGTGTATTTGTCTTGGGATTAGCCAAATCGATTTCGGTGTGCGAAACATTCATATCGCCACAAATGACAACTGGTTTGAGGGCATCCAATTTCTGGACATATGCCTGAAATAGTTGCTCCCAGCGCATACGCATTTCCAGGTTAACCAGCTTGCGTCCCGAGTTTGGCACATAGACATTGATCAAATAGAATTTCTCATATTCGGCGGTGATCATGCGACCCACATCATCGAATTCCTTGTTGCCAATGCCGTACTCCACATTAATGGGCATTATTTTGCTGTAGATGGCGACGCCTGCATACCCGCCGGGCATGCATAGCCAATACGGATGGTAGCCGGGCAGACGCTCCATCTCCTCCGGTAGCTGATCATTAGCGCATTTTGTTTCCTAAGAGTGAAAACATTTGGCATATTGAATACTTGGTTGGCACTTTTAATATTTATAGTACTGCATACCTGCAAGCAGAATATATCCGGCTGCTCAAACTCCACAAATCGTAATCCATCTTTCTTTAACCAGGCGCGCAGACCAGCCACATTCCAGCTAGAGATTTTCAAATTGAATGCCTGATCCGTTGGCGATGTGAAATGACTTTCATCATAGGCCTCCACCTTTAGTGTTGGTTGCTTTTTGGCCTTGGACGCTGGAAGACAAAAGTTGAGCACATTTTGCAAACTTTTCAATACGGCAGTGCCACAGCCGGGCTCCGTCAACGTACTTCTTGACCCATCACCTTCATCGACTGCAATGGAGTCACCGTCCTCCTCGACGACAGCAGCAGCTCGCTTGCGGCCACGTGCTGCAGAGTGGAAGTTAATAAAGAAGTTTAATCATTATAACCTGACAGCCCGATTGCTTACCTGGCTTGTTCTCTGGCACAATCTCTTCATCTAGTTTGCCGTTGACTTTCTTTTGGCCACGCTTCTTGGTTGCTGCTGGCGCTTCAACACTGGCCACCTCCTGCTGTAGCTCATCAGCTGCTGGCTTCCTGCCGCGTTTCTTTACAGGAGTCTCAACATTTTCATTATTGGCCTTTGCTGATTTGGTGCGTTTCTTGCTTGTGACCTGTGCTTTAGGTTCTGGTTCATCGTCATCTGCCTCTACCAGCTCGGAAATTTCACTATCTGCCAAACGCTTTGTACCACGCACACGTTTAGCCGTTGTTGTTGCTGCTGTTACTACATCAATAGTTGTATCAACTTTTTTTGCCTTTCCCTTAGTGGCAATGTCAGTTAAAATCTTCTTAGCACGTCCCTTAGCTGGTTCCGGTTGCTTATCTACTTCAGCTACACCGCTCTCCTTTTTCTCTGCCTCCTTTTTGCGACCGCGCGCTTTTGGCTCCTCCTCCTTGATCGCCAGCTCAATAGAAGCGGCCGTTTCGTTTAGGGGTGTTTTCAATTTCTTAGCCCGGCCCTTGCTTACTTCAGGCTCTTCGGGTGCTGGTGTTTTTTCCTTTTTCGCGCGCGGCTTTGTGGCTTTAGCTTTAGTCTTGGCCGCATCACTTACCTCTGTAGGCAATTTCTTAGCGCGTCCTTTTGGTTTGGGTGGCTCTGGATTCTCGACCACAGCAGCCTCCGCTTTTTCAGCCGGCTTCTTTCGGGCTCTGGCTGCAGACTTCTTTACAACAACCTCCGTTTCCTCCCGTGCACCGTTCACATCGCCATCGGTCGTTTCATTTGCTGTTTTCTTGCCGCGCGCTTTGCTCTTAGCTGGTTGTTTAGTAACAGTGTCAATATTTGCGACCCCCTCCTCAGATGTTCCATCATTGCCATTTGTTGCTGACAAGTCTGATGCAGGCTGCTGTTTGGCTGCAGTTTTCGAGCGAGGCATGATGGTGCTGTTCTGTCTTCTTTACACACAGCTAGAGAAATTGCGTAGCTAAAAAATTGGATCGCAAAAATATAGAAGCGCTGTTTTCGCTTTTTGCTTACTTTTAAAATGTGGGCAATACAAAAACAACTACCGACCATGAACTCTGCGCGGGCAATGGCAATGCCATCCCAAGCCGGTATCATTTTTTGCCCGCGTGAAGCTGACAGTAAAATCATCGCTATTATCGATAGCACAAGCTATCAAAGCAAGCAATTGTTTCCCCGAAAAGGTATATGAATAATAAACACAAATTTAATTGTTCTATAGACTTTTGTTTTTACTGAGTTTTTTTTTTTAAATTTATTTTGGAGCTTTTAAGTTTAAATTTACTATATATGATTAGCTACCAATTGAGATATCGATAAGCCAGAACCAAGCATTACGCTGGTTACAGTAATTGCACAATAGCGTTACTCAATATCGATTGTGTTATCGATTGTTTTTTCTGTACTACCCGCTGCATCTTTTATTTAAGTTTTTTCCTATTAACAATTTGTTTTGTTAACAATTTACAGTGTTTTCAGTGTGATGTGCATGTAAATTTAACTGGGATAATAGATATTCAACGACAAAACGCACAAGTAGCACAGGTTTTTTGCAAAGACCCGCATCAGCAGGCATCATCGAAGCAGCATCTCGTAAAAATGCCAAGTGAAATAATTACGCTCCAGCTGGGGCAATGTGGAAATCAAAGTGAGTCCAAATTTGCCATTTGTTGAATATTTATAAATTCTTTCTGTATTTTACTTGAACGATATTTTAGTTGGCTTTGAGTTTTGGAAACGACTCTGCTTGGAGCATGGCATCTCGCCTAGTGGGGTACTTGAAGAATTTGCCACCGATGGCATGGACAGAAAGGATGTGTTCTTCTATCAAGCGGATGATGATCACTATATACCGAGAGCCGTACTGCTTGACTTGGAGCCGCGCGTTATTAACACCATCATGACTTCTGCTTATTCCAAAGTAAATAATGAGTAAAACCTTAAGTTATTAAATTATTAAAACCTTTTTATTTTTATTAGCTTTACAATCCAGAGAATGTTTACTTGTCGAAGCATGGTGGTGGCGCAGGCAATAACTGGGCATCTGGCTATAGCCAAGGCGATAAATTACAGGAGGAAATATTTGATATAATCGATCGCGAAGCGGATGGAAGTGATTCGCTTGAAGGCTTTGTGCTATGCCATTCTATTGCAGGAGGCACTGGTTCGGGCATGGGCTCTTTTCTGATGGAACGCTTAGCGGATCGTTATCCCAAGAAACTTATCCAAACATACAGCGTGTTTCCCAATCAAGACGAAATAAGCGATGTTGTCGTACAACCCTACAACTCAATGCTAACGCTACGACGTCTAACAACCGCTGCGGACAGTGTCGTTGTCCTGGATAATACGGCCTTAAATCGTATAGCTTGCGATCGATTGCATATACAGAATCCAACCTTTACGCAGATCAATACGCTAGTCTCCACCATAATGAGTGTTAGCACAACAACGCTACGCTATCCATCGTATATGAATAACAATCTAATTGGCCTAACGGCCCCCTTGATTCCAACACCTCAGTTGCACTTCCTCATGACGGGCTACACACCGCTGACCAGCGACGCTAATCTTAGCAGTCAAGTAAATGTACTGCAATACTGCGCTTATTTTATACCCGATTTAATGAATTCAACTTTTTTTTAGCATAATCCCTTGTCCTCGCACCAGCCTGTCAACGTGCGGAAGACAACTGTGTTGGATGTGATGCGGCGTCTGTTGCAGCCAAAGAACATGATGGTTTCGACTGGCCCCGACAAAACCAATCATCACTGTTATATCTCGATACTGAACATCATACAGGGCGAGGTGGATCCCACGCAAGTGCACAAATCATTGCAGCGTATACGGGAGCGCAAGTTGGCGCAGTTTATTCCATGGGGACCCACCTCGATACAGGTGGCATTGTCTCGCTCTTCGCCGTATGTACAAAGCAACCATCGTGTCTCGGGCTTGATGTTGGCCAATCACACGAGCATTTGCTCTTTGTTTGAGCGCACTCTGAATCAATATGACAAGCTGCGGAAACGTGGCGCTTTTCTGGATCAATTTCGACGCGAGGATATCTTTAAGGATGATTTAACTGAATTGGACGAGTCCCGTGAGATTGTTGACGGCCTCGTACAGGAATATGAGGCGGCTACACGCATGGACTATTTGCAGTTCTCAACAACTCGACGTGCTGACAGACTAGATGGGGTAGGGGATGCGAAATCCGAAGACACCAAGTCGTTAAACAGTGGGGATCTTTAGCCATATATTCTCCTTGTGCCGTTCACGTGCCATGATCAAAAAACGAAGTATTTTGCACTTGCTCGAATATCTATTTCAATGTAATGTGTCATTATTTATAAATTCTTAACACGAATGGATTTCAAATCCTTCAAGTATTTATATATTATAAATTGTTTGAATTTTCGTATGTTTTAGTGTATTACTGTTTGTGAGTACACTGTTTAATAAGATAAAGATTGCACGATGATTTTTTTCCTAATTACAATGTTTAAAAAGAAGATACTCTAATAAAGTTATTGTTAGGTGATTTCAATAAGCCTAATACAAGTTAACAAGAGGTGATTAATTAAGATAAAGGGCGACGCAGTTGTAAAATAATGATTATCTCATTTTCCAGAATGAATATTCATATTAAGAAATAGAGATGACGAGCTCTAACATTGAAATTGTATAAAGTGCCGCTTGCCATCAAACCGTTTTTTTTTTTTTTTAATTAATTAGTGTGGTGAGTTGGAGACTTGCGACTATCGAGTCTTTATAAATTGTGGTGGCTGGTCGATATTTCACAGTGCTTATATTTTGTTCGTGGGTGGATGGTCGCTCTTAATTTATATTTGCAATTGTTTAAAATATTTGTAAATGTACAACGTTTTTAAAAATTGCAATCATAAAGCCACGGTATAACTAAAGTGAATTTAATATTAAATTTAACTACGTGAAAATGTTAAAACAAATTTGGGAATTTCCCAATGCTTCGCAATAATCTGTTGTTCCAATTTTTTCTAAGGGTCCTTCATTTACCCACGATTTCAATGGCGCCAAATATTCCTGGGGACAACCATTATGAGTCGAGGGAGCCAATCTCGACATTCGCAGTGTTGGACTTGGAAACGTCGAATTTGCCTGAACATAGGAATAATCGTGTTAGCATCACGGAATTGTGCATCTACGCCTTTGATGCTGCTATTTTATTGAATAATACGCGCTCAAGAGACTCCAACCCAGCAGATGAACCGGTACACAATGAACTACCCTCGGCACCAAGAGTGATGCACAAGTTAAATCTACTATTCCAACCGTCAATGCTTGTGCTTCCGGAAGCTGAAATTATTACAGGTCAGCAGCATAAATGACTCATGCGGGAAATTCAAGTGACTGATAGGTTTATTTATTTATTTTTTGTGCCAATTTATCAATTTTTTTCAGGCTTAAGCAACTACCTTTTGGAGCGGGAGTCAAAGCTAAATGAGAATGCAGGTGAACTGATTAAGAGGTTCGTGGAGCATCTGCCCCCTCCCGTATGTCTAGTTGCGCATAATGGCTGGCCATTTGATTTCCCCATTATTAAGCAGGCGCTTGGGAAGGTGAATATCAGTTTGCCAGCCTCAACACTTTGCGTTGATTCACTGAGCGCTTTCATGGCCATTGACGATAAGCGAAATGATAAGCCAGTTGCTGTTAAGGAGAGTACTTTGCCAATTGAAACCAGAAGCGAGCTCGTTGACGCTGCTGACAACTCAACTGAGCGAGCTGTTACCCCAAAGGAAATCAACTGGCAGGCACTAAACGAAAGCACGCCCAAGCGCCAAATTCTGAACCGTCAAGACGCAGCACTTAAACGCCAGCGCATGGACGCCGATGGCACGGAATTGCCAGCCATCAAGCGGTCATCCAACGATATAAAAGCACGACGTCAACTTTTTACTGGACTCAACAGTTCCAGCACAAAACGTTATCCACCCCGCGGTGTCTATCGTTTATCAAGTTTGTATAGCCGTATATTCGAGCGACCGGCTGTCAATGCCCATGAAGCGGAGGCGGATGTCAGCATGCTCACTAAGCTCATTCAACACTACGGCGTAGATTTTCTTGCTTTTGCCGAGGAGCAATCCATTCCATTCGCAGATGTTGTGCCACTTAGTGGCAAGGCCCCAAATTCCACTAAATAATGAATTTTAAATTTTACAACGTAATACGTATGCATGCACGATGATCTTAATTAACTTAAGGAAAAATTGTCTGATTGTTCAATTTTAATTGTTCTATTTTAAAATGCAATATATTTTTATATTCCAAATTTTTTATTTTTGATAAATAATGCAAATCTGATCTGTGTTGTTTTATTTTAATTTGAGTCCGAAAAAAATAAATGGGAATACCAAGGCAGAAGTAACGCAAAATAAAATTGAAACAATTAACGCATATTTGAAAGTAGTATTTATTGCTCAGCTACAAAGTCATAATTTATCGATACTTCTTTACTTGATATTTTGTACAGTCACAGATATTTGAATATATCGATAACACTTGTAAAACTGCCACAAATCAGCTGTTCCCAAACAAAGAATCAGAACAATTTACGTTGCGAAAACAAACAGTATATATATTAGCGAGCAAAGATCAACATATAAGTGGAAGTAGCAGCGAAAAAAAAGAAAGCTTAATTTATCGACAGTTATAAGCGTACTGAACAAAAAAAAAAAAAAAAGAAAGAAAGAAAGTGAATTATGAATTTATCTTTTGCTGGTTGCGGTTTTCTGGGCATTTATCATGTCGGTGTGGCCGTGTGTTTTAAGAACTATGCGCCACATTTGCTGTTGGAGAAAATTGGAGGTGCATCTGCAGGCTCCCTGGCGGCATGTTGTCTGCTTTGCGATTTGCCCCTTGGCAGCATGACATCTGATTTTTTCCGAGTAGTGAACGAGGCTCGTCGCCACTCGCTGGGCCCCTTCAGTCCCTCGTTCAACATACAGACGTGTCTGCTCGAGGGTCTGCAGAAACACCTGCCCGAGGATGCACATTTGCGAGTGAATGGGCGGTTACATATTTCGCTGACTAGCGTCTATGATGGCCAAAATGTTATAATTTCACAGTTCGAATCTCGCGAAGAGGTGCTGCAGGCCCTGCTCTGCGCATGCTTTATTCCAGGCTTTTCTGGCATTTTGCCTCCGAAATTTCGCGGTGTGCGCTACATGGACGGTGCCTTTTCGAACAACTTGCCTATTCTTGATGAGAACACCATTACAGTCAGCCCTTTCTGCGGCGAGAGCGACATTTGTCCACGGGACCAAAGCTCCCAGCTGTTTCACTTTAACTGGGCAAACACTAGCATCGAAATCTCCCGACAAAATGTCAATCGATTTGTTCGCATTCTGTTTCCCCCCCGCCCCGAGTTCCTTTCGAAATTTTGCCAGCAAGGATTCGACGATGCCCTTCAGTTTCTTCACCGCAACAATCTAATCAACTGCAGACGCTGTATTGCTGTTCAATCGACTTTTGTTGTCTCCGAAACAGTAGCTCAGCCCCCAGAGTTCGACCCAGAGTGCCATGAATGCAAAAAGCATAGAAAAGTAAGTAGCAATGCAATTGTTTATATATATATACTCTGCTTAATAATTAATATGATTTCCTTATTGAATGTAATGCTATGCAGGACGCTTTGACCTCAAACATGCCGCAAACTGTGCTGGACGTAATACAGGACTACATTGAGCAGGCAAACAAAGGATTGGCCAACTGGATCTTTAGGCATCGCGGCCTCAAGCTACTCTCGCTGCCAGCCACAGTGCCAATGGACTTTTTGCTGGCCACCGTATATAAAATCTCCAGTCTGACCCCGAAGCTAACCAAACAAATGCGACAAGTGGTTTCCCAGTTGCACAATGCAATTCAAACGCGCCTCTTTAGTAAATTCACGCTCTACGACACGCCACACTTTGATGCAACTGGATTGTTGCACTCCAGTCGCTTGTACGGACCTCGCGTCTCAATATTGGTCGATGAATGGTCTGTAGAATAGTGGATATTTCCGAGTTAATTGGCGTAAACTTTAGCTTTACATTTACAGCGGCGCCACCCCACTGAATGTCGATGTTGATAACTTTGAACATGTTCTTAAGATGAGCACGCATAATGATGCCCTCTATGCCTACTACTACACTGATAATAGCACCAATCACGTGAAAGTGACTGAAATATTTGACTTTGATGAAATGACGGAGCACGGTCAGCTGGCTACAGATTTGCAGCTCTACGAAGGCTCCGTCGAGGATCATCCAAATCCACGCCAGTCGCACTCACATAATGCAGTTGTCAGCGAATGGAATGGTGTTGAATCCGGTTAGTATAGCACACGATCCTATTGGATCACTAGCACGTCGACAATGCACCTCATCAGGATCCATCCCCATTTACCCAAACATTTCTTACAGTGCAAATAATGCCCACTACACCCGTATTACACGATGTTGCATTTTAGTCACTCACACGCATTCACACACACACACGTATTGGCTATAAAACATACAAAAGCTAAATTAAATGTTCATATCATTATCAGGTATATTTCATATATACTATTTAAGGTGCACTCATACTTTGAGCTTTTAATTTATTTCATATTTACTTCACAGACTTCTTCATAGACGCTCAAACGCCCAATACGACAGAAGCGCCCGAATCGACGTACTTCCACGCGCTAAATATCGAAAACGATTCGTTAGAGACAAATGCTTCTTTGGCTAATCAGCGTGCGGCTCAATCATCCATAAATAACACCGATTTGTGTATAGAAATCGAATGAGCTTTCCACTCATAACAATCAAAATTCGAATTTATAACGAATACAACGATTCCAAAGCGGCTCCTAGCAAAGCGAAGAGCCTTATTTAGCTTTCCGTTAGCTTTTAATACTTATATTATTTTAGTACGAAAGCGTATGTTTCTATGTATGTAATTATGTATTTTTTTTTACATATGCTCTTTGCTTCATCTAGTTTTCTTTGGGTTGCAGTTAGAGCACGTTATTAAACATTGTTTTATCCTTGGCTGTTTATTCGTATTTCAAATGGCTTGAGAACATCTATGTTTAATGTCTTCAATAATAAAAATGTATATCATTTCATCTAGTTATTCGTTTTTTATTTGCCCTAAATTAAGGCTGTGTAACGGACAGAAACAAATAAATTTAAAAATCTGCAAAGCAGATTTCCCTTTTCACTTTCATGTCAGATGTCAGATACCTAAAGAAATATGAAGATCTTCGTTCGAAGATTTCATAAATATTTGATATGAAGCTACTTTTAGGAATAATGAACCTGTATTTTGACTAAGAAGAAAAATTAACCAACAAAACCCGTTTATCACTTTTGTTTAAACAATAGACATCAGATTACATTTGGCAGATTAATTGTTGATTTAATTATACAAATCGGTGCAAAATAGTTCTCGCCCTCATTGTCCAATCGCATTCAATTATCGCACATATTTTGTTTTATAATTTAATGATATAGATCTGTATAGACTTCGGATACAGTACAACATGCGTAATATACTTATTTAAATAGATTAATATTAACTACAATACATACATACACCGTCTCCAATCTTGGAATCTATATATATATATACATATACATATATATATATATATATATATACATATACATATATGTACATATATATTGGCTTAAAAAAGGCCTTTGAGACAAAACTGAAGTGTTTTCGTGTTATTTTATATTTAACATTATCGCTTTATTCATTGTTGTGTTTATAAATATAGTGAGAATTTGTTATTATATTCAAAGCTTTCAAAGGACTTATGAAGTGGCATTTGCCGTAATTAACTGTACAGTATAAAAAGGGTTTAATGAAGAAAACTTAAAGCCTACGCTTTATACAAGGGAAATTGTAAAATTATCTTACATAATTTGCCCGAAACGCCGCCGTTTACTCAATATGCGGTTCATATATAATTTAAATTTACAGTAAAATTTATAAATAGCTGCTATATATAATTATTACTTGTACATATGCTTAGCTATGTATGGTACCTAATCTGTATGATGCGCATTCTTATTTTGCTTGTGTGAGTGTGTGTACATGTGTGGGTGTGCATGCGGGGGGGTGTGTATGTGCGAGTGTATGTTGTTTTAGTGTGCGTGTATGAGCAGGTGTTTTTGTGTATGTAGGTGTGTGTGTGTGTGATTGCTGCTGCTCATGGTTTGTGTCAAGATCGTTACGGAAAGACTTAACAATTAGCCGCGCCCGACACAGACACCACAGCCAAGCTTAAAACTAACCTAAATGTATATACAATTGTATTGACGGCATTCGCTCCTCACGTCTGCGTGCGCCGGTCGTATTCGCTGCGTCTGTAATCAGCAGGGTATTCGCGCGGCATGACTGGATAGCTGCGTTCACTCCGATAGCCTGGCGGCGGTGGTGGCAAAGCCATGCCATTCGGCAGGTAGTAATTAGACGGCAGGTAATGGCTCGAGTAGGCATGAGACACTGCGGACGGGTATCTGCGGGAAACAAAGCAGGGAATTGATTAATAAAGCGATCATTTGACCTACATTTAGTTACTACTAGCTCTTGTTATATAATACTAAAGCTTATCTATTTGATAGCTTCATGTTTTCCCCTGTCTGTTAGCTCTTGAGATTTACCTGCGTTTGTCTGGTCTTCGCTCGCGATCACGCTCACGATGATCTCGATGATAACCGCTGCCGGCAGCACCACTGCCTCCTCGTGGATATAGAGAATCATATCGCTCGCGCTTATAGTCAAAATTGTAACTGCAATTAAAATGAAATTAATAAAACAAATCTCAATGGCTATATTTGTGCCTTCGACATACCGGTCCCGTGGATGCCAACGATCCATTTCAGAAGCATAGCCAGATGGCGCAGGCGACGGCTCGAAGCGCCGACTACTGCCGCCAATTGCTGACGGTGAGTTGAGACCAGAACGACGTGTGCTACTCCCGTCATAGCCACTTGGTGGCCCACCGCCGGCACCTCCGTAGTATTCATCGCCTCTGTGATGCTTCTTGCGCTGGTCTTCGTGGCTGCCATGTCGCGAGGATGCCGCTGTATCCATATTAAGGCGTTTGAAAGACATCGACTTCAGGTTGTCGCTGATTCCAGAGTTATTTACAGCCATGCCGCTGGCCTCCGCATCGTTTTCATCACGTTTTCGCTTCAGTGGCGATTCATTGTTAAAGCGGCGTGTAGATTTCTCATCGGTCGGCGTACCCGAATAGCGTCCCTGACGCTCCTTGTCCTTATCCTTCTT